CCTCTCCCCAGAGGTGCCGCCTTGAGGACAGGCTTGTCCCAGTGACACCTCCCGTCTCCTGCCCTGCAGCAGTCATCTCTGGTGCCTCGCTCCCAGTGCTCTCCTCGGCCCTTCACGCCGTCTCGCAGACCCTCTCTGCTCTTTGCTTCCAACCAGGTAACACATGGGGCTGTGAGCCACCACCGTGTCCCCTCTGAGGTGGCCCTGGAGTGCCAGGGGACAGGGATGGTGCCTTCCCAAAGCTCTGATGTCCAGGGCAGACTTTGCAGCTCCATCTAATTGTGAGAGCATGTCTCTGGTGTCTTGCCGATGGGGAAGGTGGAGCTGCTCGTGTAGCCGTTGCTTTGTAAATCTGTTTGTCCCGATGTCCACAGGGGACCTGCACCGGGCATGGTGGTGTGCTCGGTGTCACGCTGGGATGGTGGTGATGGACCTGGGGTGTGCAATCCCTGGTGACGCCAGGGTCCCCTTGCCTTGCCCAGCCTTAGCGGCAGGATCCTGGAGGGTATCCCCTTGCCGTGGTGCCCCACGCATCCCCTCCACACAGGGAGAGAGTGGCCCCTGCAAGGGTGGGAGCCAAAAGCCAGCACAGAGCTGGCAGATCCCTCCAGGCCCCTCAGAGGGGAAGGCTTGGACACCTGAATGCTTCTCTCTTCCTCTCCAGACCACTGGGTATGCAGCTCCCACCCCATTCCAGCCCCTGTCGCCCAATATCAGCAGCCCACCACGGTCTCTTGCCATGCACTTCGGTCCTATGTCTCCCTCTTTGGACCCCACAGTCTTCTTCAGTCCGTCAGCCAGCGGCCAGCTGAACCTCAGGTAGCAGGACAAGGAGTGGGGTGCCTGGGTGGGACCAGAAGAGCCCTGCAGGGGATGGCTCTAGTGAGGGTGCTGAGTCCCCAGGCCCCATTCTGTCTCCCTTGCAGTGTGCCCAGCCATATGACCCAGCTGCACCCCCAGCACCAGCGGATCCTGACTCAGCAGCAGCAGCAAGGCGGGCAGGCGCAGAGGTAAAGGGGGGGTCCCAGGCAGCTGCGGGGTGGTGGTGGGGTGCTGGGCAGTCACAACAGTGATCTTCTTCCCTGCCAGCATGTCCCCCAAGAAGCTGTGGTCTCCTAAAGTGGATCTGTATGCTGGGCTGATGACCTCCAAGGAGAAGGACTGGGTCATCAAGGTGGAGATGATTCAGCTGCAGAGTGAGAACATGGATGATGACTACTACTACCAGGTGAGCTCCTGGTGGCAGCACCAGTGCTTCACCCTGCTCCTTGGGGCTGGAGCTTCATCCCTTTGGAAGCCAGGGGGGTGCTTGGGCTCATGGTAGCTTCCCTCCTAGCTATGCGTGTCATTACAGACATACTACCAGCGGCTGGAGCACAAACAGGTGGAGGAGGAGCTGCTTGGCCGGCGCAACAAGCAGGAGCCCCCCAAGCTGGTCACACCGTTCATCCAGAAAGTGGAGACATATGACTCTGGTGAGGGCCTGGGGTGGGGGCTGGGCCAGGGGTTGCAGGATGTGGTCTCACCAGGTCCCATCTCTCTTCCAGTGGTGCGCATCGCAGGCTCGCTGGGTCAGGTCGCGGTGTCTACCTGCTACAGCCCTCGCCGGGCCATCGATGCTGTGCACCATGCCCTGGTGGAGGAGGTAGGTGAGGGGGAGTCGGGCTGGTTGGTGCCCCGGATGCCTGGGGATGCTGCTCCAAGCTTCCCCCAGGCCCTGGAGTGCCTTTAGCAGGAGCTTTAGGAATTGCTGCAATCAAGCGTGGGCACTGCCCCAAGCCCTGTGGGATGGGGTGTGCGGCTGGGGCGGGGGGCGTCCCTGCAATTGCGACGTGT